AACCCAATAACATAAAAGCTAAAGAATTTTTGCGCAAAAGGATGGAAGGCGACTACTGAACGACTCAAACAACTGAGGGGGCCAAGCACATTAGTATGTGTGTGTGTATGTGTAAGTAGAAAAACCCGCTTACAGCAGCAAAAACGGCGGCAGCGACGCCAAGTGACGACCTTGATAAGTTTCACACACAACACACACACAAATACAAACAAGCGTGAACACATACAAAGCAAAAATTGCTTACGAAAAAGGAAGGGCAGCCAAGGAGCAGCCTTTGGGGGCAATGAAAGAGGCCCGCGCACAATGTGTATGTGTGTGTGTGAGTGGGAAGCAAATAGGGTAGGCACAATACATGTATCACACCACAATCGATGCTAGCACAGAGAGAGAGAGAGAAAGAGAGCGCAGCGCAGTGCATGGTGAGTTTCGCGGTGCCCAACACACACACACACACGCACTCATATTCGCTCGCTCTCTTTCGCATGGGCATCAACAAGTGGCTGCGGCTGCTCCTGCTCCTAACTCAATTCGCTTTTGTTTGTCTGTGCGCCGCTCTTTAATCAACAGCGCGTGGTGAGCTTTTAGCTGCTGCTGTTGTTGTTACACTGTTGTACAATTGTACTTGTGCTTAACATTACACGATATGTGCATATATACATATGCATGTGTGTATCTTATCATACTTTGCATTTTATTATTGAATTTCTTAAGTCGCCGCTGGCGCTGCTGCTGACGCATATAAGAATGCCAAACAAATTGCGAGCGACCGCTTGTCTGCCTCTGCTGGCGCGCGCTCTCTCAATTCACTCTCTTTCTTTTGCTCTCTCTCTGCCTTTGTAGTCAGCTGTAAGTCAGCTTGAGCTTCAAATGTTATTAAATATATAAGCATTGATATGCTGCTATATGTACTATATATACATACATATATATGTATGTTTAGTGTATAGTGGAAAATTTCTTGTAGTGTATTTATCAGGAATGTAGCTAAATCAATGCAACAACTACAGCGCCAACAACAACAACAACTTTAAATGATCGTGCAACGTGCCTGAAATTATAAAATACAAAATTCAACGCGGAACCCGCCAACAGCAGAAATAACAACAAAAACCGGCGCTGCACTTGCTGCCACACACACAACCGGCTCAGATCAACAGACAGACAGACAGATGGACAGGCGCACTGTGTGCAACGTCTAGTTTGAGCTTTGAACGACAGGCGAGCACATGAGAGACAACAACCCATAATTAATCAGACTGCCAGGCAACATTTTTACAACAATTTACAATTTACAATGTACAGACAACAGGCAACATTGTGAATTCCAAGCAGAATCCTTTACAACAACAAACGGAGCGTCTTGGGAAAGCTTTGGCAACAAACAATTTCATACTCTATCAATTTCTTATCGGCTAGCTCAGTTGATATTAAAACCTAATATGGTATTCGTATTGGATTTCACGCGATCTTATTGGAAAACACATCGTAGTAATATGCTATGCTAATTCCTATTGGCATTGGGTATTTATATTCAATTGGATTTAAACTTAATTATATTTAATTGGTTATGATATAAATAGGTTGTTTAATGTTTGTTTTCATCACCATCAAATTCTTATATAAACTTCTTTTTAAATACAAGTCAAGACTTAATATTCTAAATGATGATAATTCTTGAATATATTTTTTCTCCTGCTCTTTTATTCCTCCATTTCTCTTTCTTTCGTTGCTTTGACTAACTAGTTTTGGCTTTTATCTAGAAATGAAATTATTGTCTTTCCAAAATATCAATTTTATGGACTTACTCCTCGAATTAAATGCTAAGCACAAGAATATGACAATAGATACATTTTTTTTTTCTTTTTTCTTTTTAGCTGTTTGAGCATACAGGTAATGGCCAAATCAATGTGTGAAAACAAGTTTTCAAACATTAATTCGCATATTTTTACAAATTATATTAAGCTCATACATAACGAGTGAACAGCAGCAACAACAACAATAATAATAATAATAGCAACAACAACAAATACAAGGAACAAGCATTTTTATCATGTACTGCGAATAAAACTCGTTTTGCTTGTAAAACTATTCAATAATTGTGATGCCAGAAAATAAAAACTAAATATATAAAAATAAAAACACAGCATACAAGACAATTCACAATCCTATAAATAATTAAACTAAATTTTATTATGGGTTTAACAAAAAAAAGTAATAAATTAAAGTCGAGGATAAAATATTTGGAGAAGCAACTTAAGCTTCGCTCAATTGTCTAGCTAATCTGATTGGAATCAGTGCCTTAGGGAAATAGCTGTTTTAAAAGGGAAATAATCTCTTAAGCTTCGTCGCTTTATCATCTCATTACAAAGCGCTGACTAAGCCTATTGATAAATAGTTGCATTTAACAATATGAATATGCATATACATATACAATAATACATACACATACCCGTATATATGGATGTGTGCGTACCTTTGAGAGAAGGCGAGAAAAAAGAGCACAACTTAAAGCGTTGTCAAAAATCTTAATCAAATTATTGACACTTAACGTTGCGCGTAGTGTAACCTCGTCAAATGGAAAATTTGTATACTTTGTGCAAATGACTAAATTACAATAATAATAAAACAAAAGCAAAAAGAGTAAATAAAAAATACCCCAACAAATACAACCATGCTAAAAAGATTCCAGCACAAAGATATAATTTAGCTGTTACATTATCATTGCATGTGTATGCATGTGTGTGTGCGTGTGAGTTAATATACTCTAATGTTACAGTTTGGGTTTTTTTTCACTCTGCTGAGTTAAATATTATAATGTAACTAAATAGGAGTAAAGAGCAAGAGCGAGAGAGAGCATTCCCTCTCTCCCACACACACATGTATGCAATGTGTGATTGGAATTAATCAGGAGTGCACGCTGGCCCTGGGAGCGCATTAAACTTAGCTTTACAACATGCTCTGCATAAGCCTCCGAGTGTATTACACCATAAAGCTGCTCTACAACTGTGCTACAGCAACAAAGAGCGTAACATTCTTCGTTGATCAGCATGCCTAAGACGGCAAGCCATGCACTCCTCCTCTATCATACAAATGAGAGCGGCGCCGCTGAGAGAGTCAAGGCAGGCATATGGGGAAATGTCATTGATCCACCACACGTTTGGGCAGCGAATCTCGCTCTTGTCTGCTATCAGTCGCCGCTATCCGGCTGCTGCTTTGCTATACAATGTGAGCGGACACAGTGGGACGAGTAAAATGGGCTGAAGTATTCGTCACTTAATTGGATGAGCGCGACGCTGCGACACTGCGACTATGCTGCAATCAAAGTACGCACGCACACACATATATGTATATATATTAGAGAACAGAGCTTGGGCTTTTTCCAATATGCAAAACAAACTTATTAAAGTGGATAGACAAGTTTTAACCAGTGAGAAGCGTGCTGATAAAGCAGTTTGCGCTGGTCAAGCATACTGTGCGAAAGAGAGAGCTGTAATGCACATAGAAAACAAACACACAAGCACACTAACACACACACACGCAGGGACATACAGCGGTTTAGGCTCAGCCTAAATATCCATAAAGACTCGATAAAAATAACTCAACATTGCCTGCAATCAATTTTAAAATAGACTCAACTTACAGCTGCGAAGAGGAAGAGGAACAGGCACAACACAAAAAGGAGAAGAAACTAGCCAAAGGCAGACAAGCCAAGCCAAGGCAAGGTAATTTCAACTTACCGCTGCGCTCCCGCGCCGTACAAGTTCAAGGCCAAGTGGCCACGGCGCCTCCTCTCTGTCTTTTACTGCGTTCTCTCGTCTCCCGCTCTTCGGTTTACAAGCACTCGATGTGTGTGCGTGAGTGTATGAATGTGTTTATAGTGTTGGCGTGCTTTTATCTCTGAGTGTGTGTGTGTGTATTATTCTTTTTTTTTTATGCGCAACCGTTTGCATGCGAAAGAACTTTCGTTTTCAAGTACATGAAGCGCCAGCGCCTCCTTTGCCTGCGCTATTGTTGTTGTTATTGTTGTAGCTCTTTTCTTTTTAGTGGGACGCGCGCGTGGTGAACAAAGGGGAAATCGCACTTGTTTATAGCACGCGCAACATTTTGTTGTTGTTTTTCTATTCTTTATTTGTTGTTGCTTTTGTTACCGAAATCAACAAATTCCGAAAATTTGTATATGTTATTTGCAAGACTGCACACTCGATCCCAGAAGCAGGCGGCTTTGTAAATTAATTAACACACTCACAGCTTACACACACATACACACACACAGGCACAACCACACGCACACTTGGCCATATCAAGCAAGCGGGCGGGCGAGCGAGCGAGCGCGCGCGCCGAGATAAGGCAAAGCAATTTATTTGCACTAAAATTTTTTGCTTTTTGCACGCTGCCGCTGTCGCTGAGGGGTTACAAGGGGCAGGAGAATATTTCGGGGGGGTGGGGAGGAGCTTAAATTCACCACACACACAATCTCACACACACTGGAATTTCGTCGAAGCAACACACTCACTCACACGCAATCCGACGACGCAAACGCACGTTTCTCGTTACGACTGAGATGGCCAATAATAATTTTTGGCATTCCTGTTCGCATGTCCCGCACACTAGAACAAATTTGCGACGCAATTGGGTTTTCTAAGTTGCGTTAAATGTTTTATTTAGCTAGTTGAATTGCACGAGAATTTAGAAACGAGCAGAGACAACAGAAAACCAGACGACACCGCGATTACGAGGCGCAACAACAAATGGTGAGCGTGCGGAGAGAGCCACACGCCAGAGTTGCCAAGCTGAGAGCTTTTTCTTACGCCAAAAAAGCTTTGCGACAGTGTTGAAAAGCGTGTGGTCAAAAACATATGAAATTCATTAATTTTATTGCTTATAAAACTAAACATTATTTTTAGTATATACAAATATTATAGCATGGGTAAATTGGCTTTTAATGCATCAAACTCCTTACGATCCAAAGCCTTTAAGTTGGTGCCTGAGAAGGGGGATTTGAACTCAACATCGCGATGCTTGTTCACCAAAATCTTTTGCTCTGAATAAATCAGATTGATTTGCTGACTTATTTGCTCCTGATCTGTAATTGGCTCATATTAAAAACTTGTATATATACAAATGTGTCTATATTTACCCTTCTTGAGCAACTGTATGGCTTGATCGCGCTTCATTTTAACCAACATGCTACCAACTGTTATCCATACTTTTGGCTCATCGCTTTTTTCCATCAGACGCAACGCTTCACGAGTTTCCTGCCTCCGTTTGTCCATTACAGTTAACTCCTGTTTGTTAACCAATATCTTATCGGCCAACTCTTCTGTCTTGTTGATAATCTCAATGCTTTTATTCAAGTCGGATTGCGACATGTTTAATGTAATTTTCACTAATGAAATGTGCAAAAATGCGGTCAAAACATAAACAAAACAATTTAGTGTGACCAGCATACGTTAATCCAGAGTGGACAGAGGCTCCAGGGTGGGTATTCGAACACCTGTTTGCAAGATTCACCTCAATAACAGCTGTTTCTGATTCTGATTAAATTACGCGCGCAATTCCAACAGGGAATTAAAATTCTACTTCAAAAAAATTAAAGGGACTGGCCTGACACAATTTGTGAATATTTCTACTTATTGTTTTTGACTCAAACAGCTGTTTGCAGTATTTCAGTATGGTCATCTTTATTATAGCTGCGCGAAATTTAAATTTGAAGCAATTCCAATAGTTAGAGAGAAACCCCCTGAATGTAACTTTGTAGTATAAAAAACTATTATTGTAAAAATCTTTAAAATCCACTTTATTTGAAGCCACTCTGCATTATAACCGTTACTAACCAAAACTTAAGCTTATTTTTTTGTATAAAATTTCAACATTTAAAGCTACTCCTGTTTCTTTGCCAACTGCATTCGTACGAACTTCCAATTTTAACGTTTGTAGTGCGTGAGATGGTTGATCATCTCGTAGAGCCACTTGGGCTGATCATGTGGAGCCATGTGGCCAGCATTGCGTACCATAATCTCAACCAGATGCCCCGCATGCTTCACATAGCCCGCCACCTCGCCATCGATTCGCCAAATTTCACGTGGCGCAATCTTATATTTTGCGGCATCCCGAAACTTGAGCCTGTTCAAATAGTTGCGAGTCAGCGGATAGGCCACAATGATGTCCAATTGTCCGCTATAGATGCACACGGTGTACGTATTGAGAAGTTCAGCGATCCATGGAGCCACCGTGTCCATGACGTCCTCCTTCAAATGCAGCTCTACCTTGTTCTCCTTGTCCAGATCATGGAACGGCTGGTTGCCCACATGAATGGCACGTCGAGTGGCGCCCGCTTGCAAAAATTTACCCAATTGGGCATCCGCCGGATTTGGTTTAGTAATAAGATAATTGTAGTACCAATTGTAGCCCGTCAGATTGCTGAAGATGGAGCCGTTGGTCAGATCACCATTGATCAGCGAATCGAAGACCTCGAAGGCGCCACTCATATCCCGTTTCTCAATCAGCTCGGCGCCCTTCTTCTCGGCCTCATAAAACTGGATCAATCCATTGTCATCGATCAGGCCCAGCTGATAGAGATAGTCGCCGTATTTCAGCTGATGCAACGGATCGGAAAGCCCATTGCCAATGGCCACACCCTTCAGTGGAATATGGACTCGCGTCTCAATGGAATTCTGGACTTTGTGTATGTGATAGGCCAAAGCGGGAACATATTTGCCGGCATAGGACTCGCCGGTAACCCAGAAACCGGAGGAGGTGCCCCAATCGAAGAGCTCGTATAGCTGCATCACAGCCTCGTGCAGATTCCTGCCCACATCTTTCTCGTTGCGGGCGTAGCCCTCGTCATGATCTGTGAAACTAAAGCCCGTGCCCACAGGATTATCTATATAGATCAGATTATGTGTCTTGCTCCAGGTATAGTTGCGCAACTGTACTTTGCCCTGACCCTCGAGCTGCAGCGGCCCATTCTCAGTGAAGAGCCCAAACAGCGAGGAGGCACCCGGTCCACCTTGCAGCCAGAGCACAACTGGTGCATAAGCCGGATCTGTTTCGCTGGGGAAATACCAGAAGAACATGTTCGAATTGTAGCCCTTGTCCACAGTCAAATAACCCGCATAGCTCTCCACATTGTGGAACTGGGAGCCCGAAACACGCGCCATTTGACGCACTTGCTCCATGGGCACTTTCTGATCTTCGATGAAGGGCGTTAAGAATAGCGGCTGACCGGGATCAACGCCATCGTTGAAGTACTCATAGCGCGGATATGGATTGATAAAGCTCTTTCTATACGGCCGATCTGCAGCGGCAACAGCAGCAACCGCTGCGATAATCAAGAGAACGCAATGAATTGCGTTTTTCATTGTTTTTTTGTTTTTGTTTTTTTTTTTTTTTTGCTTGCTAGAATAAATCAGTTATTTAATCTGTTGTGTTGAGTTGCTGCTCCAACAACGCCCCCTTTTACTTACCCTTCACTATAGATAAGCAAACGTTGCACTTTTACTTCTGCTCCGGCTAAATTATAAAACTCGTCTGAGCCGGCGAAGATGATAATACAATGCAAAGCAATAAAAATTTAAGAATTAAGTAGTTCCGTTGCTGAACTAACAAGTGAGCTGCAACTATCGAGCAGACACAATACTATCGATAGGTGTTAGATGATTTTTTGAAAGTGAAAAAAGCTACAGAAAAATTAAGCAAAAACCGCGCCTAAATTACTTCTCGATCTAATGAGCTAGTTGCAACAAGAGTGATATATAAAAAGATAATAACAATAAATATACTAATTGTTGTATAGGCTTTTATCTTAACCTATTTTAAGCTGGATTTAAATTCAAACGCCTTTTTTTAACTACCGAATAATCAAATGAACTACTTGCACCTGTTAGATAGCTGAGCACTATTATCGATAACAGCTTGGCCAAACAGCTGTTGATTTGAAATTAAAAATGTATTTAAAATGCCAGCTGATAACAAATAATGAAGACAATTGAATTTAAATTGCAAATAAGTTGCGTAAGACATACCGACATGGAATTGAAATTAACTGCAGCGCTATTTAACACCTACATAAATCACAAAAGCCGAAATAACCGTTAAGCGAATATGGGTTAAGCGAAAACAACAAACGCCTTCAATTACCGCTAAAATGAGTCATGGATAGCAGCGACGCATCGTTCGCTGCTTTCGCATTTGTTGTGGCATCGCGAAAACATTCCACTTTGGGCAGCTCAACCAATTGGACGTGCTCCATCTTTCGCTCGCGTTCTCCCTCTCGCTCTCTACTTTAACTATTGTAAGTACCTACAAATAGCCTGATTACGCATATCTAACACATACACACACCCACAAACACACAGATAAAATGTTCGATTTCAATTTGGAATTTGCGCGTGGCGGCGCCTTCTTCACCAGCGAGCTGTTCCAGCTGCTCGCAGCCGGCGGACTTAAGCAAAACATCGTCTTCTCTCCATTCTCGATACAAACCTGCCTGGCCTTGGCATTCGCTGGCGCCCAGGGCGAGACAGCGGATGAGATAGCCAAGGGATTGCGTTTCGTCTCCAACTTCCCGCCTGAGGTTGCTCAAACCTTTCAGTTTGTGCTGCAGAAGTACAAGGACAGCGATCTGCTGAAGGTGGCCAACAAGCTGTACGTGCAGCAGGGCAAGCAGCTGAAGGCCAGCTACGAGGCTACGATCAAGCAGGACTACAACTCAGAGGCGGAGTCCATTAACTTTGCACTGAGCGATGCGGCTGCCCAGCAGATCAACGGCTGGGTGAATGCCAAGACCGAGGGCAAGATCACCGAACTGGTCTCGGCGGACTGCTTCGATGACAACACACGTCTGGTGCTCCTCAATGCGCTCCACTTCAAGGGCAGCTGGGCCAACAGATTCGATGAGGCCAGCACCGCCGAGGACGACTTCTGGACATCCGAGGAGCAGAGCGTTAAGATTCAATATATGAATCAGAAGGCCAAATTTGGCTATGGCTACTTTGAGGAGCTCAACTGCACTGCCTTAGATATGCCCTACAAGGACTCCGATTTGTCCATGTTTGTGCTGTTGCCGCAGGAGCGCGAAGGTCTCAAGGATCTGGCCGAGAAGCTGAAGGGCGTAAATCTGGTCGATTTGGCCGGTAAACTGAATGTGGAGGAGGTGCAGGTGAAATTCCCCAAATTCAAGGCCGACTACTCCATCGAATTGGCCGACAAACTGAAGCAGGTAGGTTCGATATGGTTAATATGTGGGATATATGGCTAATATGGGTATATATAAAATATTTGTAGTTCAAATTTGAGTCATCTATCAATAGCTCTATAGATATAGATAGTCTATATAAATGTAGGACAGATATGTGTTATATGGATTTATATAGGCAGACTTTATATTGGTGTAGAATATAAAAGGAATTAATATAATAGGTCTTGTAAAGGTAGAGTATTTAGTTATAATATATGTATGTACATTTATACATATGGGTCAGAAATATAAAATATATCATAGCACTGGTATACAGAGTATTCTCCAATAGCCATAAACTATGCATATATTTTTTATGTACTTAAACTCGCTCTTTGAACACATTCATAAAAATACCAACTACCCAATTTCTTTATCTATATAATATGTATGTCTGTATAATATATCATTTTGTGCTTCCCTTTATTTTCTTTAACACGTCAGTAGCTATTTTTTCTTTCAAACTTTATTGATTAGCTCTTTATCTTAGGAAATATCAATCGGAATTTAAAGTACTTTCATTTCGGGGGCTTATCAAGCTTAGAGATAATGTTACGGTATTTAATATTGCTTTCACGCCAAACTGACAAATTTGTGGTTCCTGCTTATGATCAGATATCGCTCGTGCATTGAGTATCTTAACTTAACTGCACCTGAGTCGTATACGCATATCTTATCTCCGGAATGAGCTCATCATTCATAATATATTTAATCATTGTTTATTTTTGTAATACTTCAACTGATTCGTTATCTCCTTGTGGAATTATTTACAGCTTGGCATTACGAAAATGTTTGATGAGGGTGCCGATTTCAATAATCTGCTGGAATCCCCTGAAGGCATTTTCGTCTCGAAAGTCTTGCACAAGGCGACGATTGAGGTGAACGAGGAGGGCACCGAGGCGGCTGCTGCCACCGGCATGATCATGATGACGCGCATGATGATGCTGCCACTGCAGTTCCAGGCGGATCGTCCATTCCTCTATGTCATCTGGAACAAGAAGAATATTGTTTTTGCCGGCGCTTTTGTCACTGCACCAAGTGCTTAAAACTATAAACTAAAAAAAAAAAAAAGCAAAAAAAAAAATAAAATAAAAAAAAAACTCATTAATTTATTTGTTATTTTGATATTGATTTGTATTTATTAATAATAAAAGAAAACAATGGCACATTCAATTGAAGTATTTTAATTTAGGAAATTTAAATTAGTATATTGTAAAATAGAAACCAAAATTTAATTTACAGCTGAGAAAATGCCCAGTATTTTTTACTTAATAAATAGCTTGGTATAATATATTAATTAACTTGTATTATAAATCTACCATACAAAAATTAATATTTTATATTATATTTTAAATTTCCCATATTTTTGTATATAAAACATATTATTTTATTTTATTTTGACCATTTAATTTACACTATATAATAAAATTTACATTTTACGTTCCCATATTTATATATTAAAAAATTAGTTTTTATTATAAATTCATCATTAAATTTCCTACTGGGTCTCCTCAAGTGCGCAGATTTGCGTTAAGTTTTTCGTGCAGCCAACTTCACGCTACACCCAGCCAATTGCTCTCAGTTCATTGAGCCAGTTCCGCGCTGAACTACGCAGTCTGTTTCGTTGGTGCAGAAAGAAAACAACTTAAGTACACACATGTATGTATATACATATATTGGGTAATGCGGGCTGAACAATTAACAGTCATGTGGCAATAGGCAATATTAGCATTCGCAACAATTCTGAGCAATGTCACTGCGTGCATTAAGGAAACGGGACAACCAATACAATCAAAGTGCTGCCAGAGCAACGCTTTATAAAAAAGCAAACAATAGCAACGGGAGCAACAACAACAACAACGGCAGCAGCAGCAACAACAACAACAACAACAGCAGCAGAGCCAAAAAGTTAACGTCAGCTGGAAGCCTGTTGCGCCAACGTCAGCTGCTGGGACGTTCGACACATTCCAACCCGGATCTAACGGCATTTCAAAGGACCTGCACGAATCACCTGTTGCGTCGCAAATCGGAAAGCGATGCCAATTGGGCCATCTCAACGGGCCAATCAACGAAACCGTTAACGGCTGCCAACGCCAAGTCCGAGATTTGTCTGCAGCGCATCAGTTCGCACAGCTACGAGACGGCGAACAGGACCCCGACCTCAGCTACGATGCTCGGTGGAGCGCGTTCGCATCGAGATCTGTCCGCTGTCCCATTGGAGGCGGACCGAGCGCCGCGCCGCATGAGCGAGTGCAGCATGGGCTACAGCCAGGCGAGCGGCAGCTACTCGCGACGCACCAGCTCCATGTTTGCCAGCCAAATGATGCTGTCCTCGAGTGCTGCGGCGCCTGTTGATCCCAATGCGATTTTGCGTGTGCCCATCATTGGCTACGAGGTGATGGAGGAACGGGCACGCTTCACCGTCTACAAGCTGCGCGTCGAGAATCCCGACACGAATGACTTTTGGCTAGTGATGCGACGCTACACGGACTTTGTGCGCCTCAATGGCAAGCTGAAGCAGGCCTTTCCCCACATCAACCTAATGCTGCCGCGCAAGAAACTCTTCGGGGACAATTTCAATGCCGTCTTTCTGGACAATCGGGTGCAGGGCCTCCAGATGTTTGTCAACTCGATCATGGCCAAGGATCAGCTGCGCAAATGTAAACTGGTGCGCGAGTTCTTTTGCCTGGACGAGCCGCCCACGTACTCAGAGTCCATGGAGGAGTGTCGAGTGAGTGGACATAGATGTAGTACCAATTATAAATATATATTAATATAAATTTATATATACTCCTCCTTCACAGGCAATCTTTGAGGCCCAGGAGGAGACCATTGCGCACTTGAAGCTGCAAATACAAAGCAAAAATGATCTCATACTCGGGCTACAGCAGAAGCTGCGCGAGGAAATGATCGAGAAGGAGCAGCTCAAAGAGCAACTGAAGTAGCATCATTATATATATATATCATCTATATATAAATTACTCTCTCTCTATATATATGTATATTCATTCCCATTCACAGAAATCTCAATTTGAACTGTTCGCACTGCTCGTCGGCAAATGAAAGTTTGGCACTGAAATAAAGCTAGGAAACCACTCAAACAAGGACATGGACTGGAGGCGTGTCCTTCATGTGTGCGTGTGTGTGTACACAATTATGCTGAGCATAACTCTAGATACTCACGCACGTCCACAAAATATATCTCCCCAAGTGCATATCAAGCAATAAGCAAGGCTCACTATATAGACAACTATATATAGGATATATCAAGTGCTTTAGCATAGTACACTGGACAGCAAGGAATTAAGTTCGAGGAGTGAACTGATATGATTTAGATGGTGTTTTGACAGAAGAAGTTGCTCGACAATTGACAATTGGAACTCGATTTGTATTAATAACTGTTATAAAAGGAATCTATTTATATAAAAACTGTAAATTAATGCGACTTTTGAGCACACTTCTCTTTAAGAATTTTAGCTAATGTAACAGGACTATATAAATGATTATGTGCTAAGCTTAAGGTGCAGGAAGATGATATTAAAACATACGCTATCTAAGCCAAAATATTGCCCAAGTGCATAACACTTTTATTTAATATTCCAGACAAGAAAAGGTTTCAGCATATTATATATCTTCTTCTTTTCACAACTATACAAAAAATCTTTTTAAAAATTATAACATTATCATATTATATATTTTAATATACCAATGATAACTCTATCTATCTTTTCAGTTTAATATAATCTATAAGCATAATCCTTTCAAAAATCATAGCATTAACATACGTTAATAACATATTTCTTTAATGCTCCATAAATAAGGAACCAAAGGAGAGTTCAGATTTCTTTTCAGTTTTAAAAATCCTGTCAAAAATCATATCAATGCACTCTAAGAAAGAAATACAAATATTTTTTTAAACATGTATACTAAATATATAAATATAAATATATATATATGTATACATATACAAATGGATGCGGGTTTTTATCCGCTGAACATTAAAACTTAGCATTAGCACAATATAATTTACAATAATAATGATAATTAAAAATTGTTTTAAAATCTATAAATAAACTGTTTATAACTATTAGCTGGCCAGCTCAGAGGCTCGTCATGGCTGGCGGCCTGGCGTAGGCTTTCGGTATGAACCCATATTTGCGCGTCTTGGGCGCATATGCCCAGAGCCAGCCGTCGACGGTTTGATTGTTCAGATCCGCATAGATCCAATCGCCACGACGCACGGACAAATCGTCGGGCGCCTGTGCCTTGTAGTCATAGAGCATCACTAGCTCGGTGCCATGATAGCGCAAATCATCGGTGCCAATGCCCAATTGTTGTTGTTGTTGTTGTTGCTGCTGCTGCTGTTGCTGTTGTTGCACCTGTTGCTGTGCCTGCTGCACCTGTTGTGCCTGCTGGCCCTGCTGCTGCAACATGCTCTCCATGGCATTCAGGCTGCCACCTGTTAGATTCGCATGATGCTGCATATTGCTCTCGTTGAGCGGAGCTGTTGTCCCGTTCGCCGCCTTCTGCTGCTGCAGCACTCGCACACTGTCGGCGGGATAGATAAAGTTGGCCGGCACAAAACCCTCCTGGCCATCGCTGCGCATTATCCAGAACCAGTCGGGATCCTCACGATTCAGCACCGTCACAAATTCGCCCCGCTCCACGGACAAATCGTTCTCGTCGCGCGCTATGAACGTGTAGAGCACAATGCAGCGACCCGACGGCTCCTTGATGAAGGGCGTGCACTCCGGCATCGTCACATGCAGATTGCCATCCACATTGCTAGCTGCGGCGTTAGTCGCCTCGTCGCACAGCACGTCCAGCTTGTTGTCCACGCTCAGCAGTGGCTGGTTCTCGTCGTGCGGCTGTTCGGGGCATTGATCGCGTGGCAGTTTCTTTTTGATGGCCAGCTCGGCAAGCTGCGTGTTGTATGGCGCGCAGTAGGAGAAGGGTATGAAGCCCTCCTGGCGAGAGTCTTGTCCTATAACATATACCCAATCGTTCTCGCGATACAGTATATTTACTAACTGCCCGCGCTTCACCTCCAGCTCATCGTCCACGCAGGGCGTAAAGTCGTGCAGCACAACCATCTTGGAGTCGGGACTGCCGGAGGGAAATACAGATTTAAATGTATCTTATATATGTATTTATTAAAGACTTTACCTCAGTCCATGTTCCTTTTCTATGCCCACACGCACCAGCGTCTCTATACTCGACGAGCCTGTTATGCGGCCCATGCCAACGGGCGCCAAATCACGTTCGATGTTCGCATTTGTGGCTAATGGGGGAAAACAAGTTTGTTGTTTAAGTCTTTCACATATATGTGGGCAAATTAATTCTCTTTTGTGTTATGCTGGCTGCGCATGCGTACCTTTCTTTTTGTCGCGCCGCATGCGTACAGGGCACAGAAATGCCATATTTGCTGAACTTTTAATTTTCTTATTCACAATTTAATAATAATATTGTGCTCCACTGCGTTTGTTTATGAGAAAATGCATTGCACTTGTACTCGATTCTCCCGTGTGGTTATCGAACTCATTTATCGAACCTGCTCGTTTGCTTTTTATCGATATTGCCAGACCGCCACAATAAACCGTGTGCGCTCAAATTGATCGTTTCGGCTGTGTAAATTTGTTTTGTTTAGTGTCTGTTTTTGTTGGTGTGTTAATTAAAGTTATGCTTAACAAATGTTTAATCCAGTTGTGCAATCAAGCGTTTAAGTAAATATTTCCATAGTGTTTATTGAAAATGATGAACCTTACACCTTACAACACCTTGAGTCAGGTTCATTGCACTTGTCCGTTAGCCAAAGAAGCGCCACACAAACTAATTACTATAATTAAGTTATATGTGTGTGTGTTTATTATGTAATAAACACGCAGACAGCATTCTGTATGCATAGATTTTAAAGCTCTGGCATTTGGCCAGTGCAACATTGTTTGCTGTGCAACATTGTTTGCATGCCAGTCATGTTTTAGCCTTTTGCCTTTCAAGGCTAAAAAGCAATGCGTCATCCATTATCCTTGCAGTCTGCATCCTGGCAAACAGCGGCAATGCTCTTTTTTAGTGCCAAGGATGACGGCGTTTGCATTTTCGATTATTTCTGCCAACGGCTGTGTGCGTGCGTGCGCGCGTGTGTGTGTGTGTGTGCGGGCAAGCGAAAGTACAGCCGACTAACAAACTGACCTACACTGCAGACCCTGCATGAACCCAGGCCCCGGCTCTTCTCACGTCCTCAAGTTCGTTTCCATTGCCAAAAAAAAAACGGTAGAAGGAAACTGCGCATTACAATTGCTGTGTTACGAGCATTATACGAGCTATAACCACCCCTTCTCTGCCTCCCTATCCCTCTCTCTCGCTCTCTCTCTTTTTCTCTCTTTGGCATCGTAATGAGCTCTTCGACTCGTTGTTGACTTTTGCTTACTACGCAGTTGATTTTACATCCCACATATTCCAGCTCAGTGGCCAAAAGCCAGCCCAATCCAACCCACCTGCCCATACACCATTCGATTGCATCCCAGCCCATTCCATGGCCTATCCCAAGCATTCAGCTCAGAGAGCTCGTCTCTAAGCAATCAATAGAACGGCGTCTGCGCCTGGAGCCACACGTGAAACCATTCACTAAAACAGCACAACAAAGAGCTCGACATGATGAGCTTGATAAGGATGCTGTTGACGATGATCAGGATGTTGATGATGAGCATGTTGATGATGAGCACGTTTCATGTGGCTGTTGTGACTGTTGTTCATTCCTGTTCAAATATAAACGCTGTCTGGACCTGTTTGAAGTATACTATGGGGCAAGCCATGGGGCTTAACTAACTGGGTCAGTTATATTTGGCAGTCACGCAGGTTTCCTAACTGAAACCCTAACCGAACCTAACCCGCCTAACGGCTCAGCCCGCTATTCAAATTTCACTCAAATGTTGTTAGGAAACTGTCAGACGAGTTGTCCGGAATTTTATGGAATTGTGAAATTACAGCATACTCACACACACACACAGACACACACGTCATTCACGCCCATATCACAATTTCATCAGAGCTCGTAACATATCCTCTCAGGCTTGGCTGGCTTCGCTTGTAATGCTCTTCTCGTAAATCGATTTCGCTTAGCTTTCAGTTTCATGAATGGCATTTCAATTTCCCCCGCTCCTAAAACAACGCACATTGTCGAAAAGTTATTCAAGTTGCTAGAAATTTGATAGGCGGGTTGCGAAAATTCAGTTTGCCAATTTATGGGCTTTGCGAATATGATGAATTGCGCTATATTTTTATGGGGATAGTTTAAAGTATCTGAGAGCTAAAGTTTAGTACATCATAACAGCATATATGATCATATTTAATTTATTATATTAATATTTTTTCTATGTAGTTTTTGTTAGCTAAACGAGTAAAGCGAACAGAGCCTGTTCTTTTCTATTTTTATTGAGATCTCTGTATACATTGAGGTCTGATATTTTACGATTATCCTTTCATTATAATCATTTCTATTTATATTTTATATATGTTTGTTTGTATATATCAAATGTAGTATGACTGTTATCTTAAACTGAGAATTTTATAAAAACCAAAAATCATTTTAACAAAAACCATTATGCTCTTAATATTAAAATAGATTAAATTAGATTATTAGTATTATATTGTGTAATTTCATTATCATTGTAATTTTCAATATGATTACCCTATCATCATGATGCAAAAAAGTCAGGTAATCATCATTAATTATATAAATGGTTATAAATTAAAAAAAAAAAAAATCTTTCATATAGAATTTCATATGATTCTATGTTGGCATCATTTATATATTATCTTGATTACTTTAATGATTATCTGAGCTTACAAATTATTATATTATAGAGAAATTCATCTATATGCATTCATAAATGACTTTATATAATTTGATCGCTTAATTGCCTTTCCCAGTTGGTAATGCATTTCCGAATTAACCGCACGATTTATTGGCCTAATGCAATTTTCGGTCGATTCTTGTATTTGCGCAACAGGCGAAAATGTTGACGAGCGTTGCTAAAAATGCAAAAGGCATAAATAGAAACCAAAAATGAAAAATATAATAATAAAAACAAACAAAAATAATAGCAAAAATCAAAAAACATGAAAATGCAAGAAAAATGGCGAAATAAATAATGTAAAATTTTGGAAAAATGCCAAGAAAATGAACGGATTTCAAATATCTATAAAAGTATTTTATATATAGATATATAATACGTGCAACAGATGCGCCAAATGTGGATATATACATCTCTACACATACATATATATGTATATATATATATAGATGCTGATTAATCGATTTAGAGGTCTAGCTGTTGATTGCATAAGCCAGCGTCAGCCTCAGCTAAGTGAGCTTTTCCTGCATTCCACGCCCACGCACAGGCTCATAAAGCGAGAGAGAGCGTCAGGCAGACAAAAGTGCTTGGGACGGGGGGTGGCGGTGTGGGGGCGTGTTTGTCGCCTACGCTCATAAAATGTGTTCAAGGACACGTTCAGGCAATTCAGCGCCCATATAAATGTGCCGCGAGGCAGACGCCACAGCAATTGACACGAGGCGTATACGCGATATTTAATTAACCACTTAACGCAATTTGAGATTGCACTGGCTAGCGTTCGCATATCCTGTGGGCGAGGGTGGGAGAGTTCTATGCCATTTTTAATGCTGCCAAGGCCTTGGGTGTTTTATGGCCAATCGTCGGAGCTTTGACAACGCAGAAGAGTTAATTATTTAGCTGTTGCTCCTGCTGCAGTTAAAACTTCATTTTCAACTTGTCCGGCTGATACTGCTAATCGTGATTCTGCTTCTGCTATTTAGCTATCCTGTTCGTTCTTCAGTTTCTATTCTCTATTGCGACTTCTCATTCAGCTCTTATAACAGCAATTGTCTTCGTTTCAGTTTTCTCTTAGATTCGCATGAGTTTCCATGTGCTGCTTTAGCTCCTGTTCCAGCTACTACTATTTACTACTACTACCTTTAACGTGACTTCTGTAGTAGTTCGACGATCGCTGCTGCTCCTGTTGCTGCTGCTGTAGCTATCCTAGCAGGAGTACCAGGAGTAGAAGAAAAGAGACCAATGCTTCTGCTGTATGATTGGCTTATCCACTCTGCAGTTCCTGCTGCTACTCTTGCTCCAGCTCCTGCTACAGCTTCCGTTTCTACTTATGTTTTAGCTTACAGTTGATTCTTAAGCTCTTCATTTGGCTCCTGCTTTAGCTGCTGCGCATTTTCCTCACTCCTACAAAGTCTTAGCATTCAGCTTTATCTGCTCGTCCTTTTTCTACTTCTGCGTCGGCCTCTGATTCTACTTTAGCTGATGGTCAGCTAGATTTACTGTTCTCCTGCTTTAACTGCTACTCCTGCTGCCCTTGCTACTCCTGCTGTCATTGCTCCTCCTGCTGCCACTGCTACTCCTGCTGCTGTTTCTGCTCTACCTTCAGCTCCTGCGCCTCTTCCTCTGGCTTTCGCTTAACTATCAGCTTATGCTCCAACTGAAGTTCCGCTTAAGTTTCAGCTTATATTCCAGCTCCAGCTGCTGCTCCTGGCTGAGCTGCTCTTGTTGTCCTTGCAGTTGGCCTTCTTTCAGCTGACGCGTGATTCAGCTCCTCCTGTAGTTGCAACTCCTGCTCCCACTCCTGCTGCAACTCCAGCTGACCCATCTATTCTTGTTGCAAGTGCAACACTCCTGCTCCCACATTAGCTTCAACTCCTTCCACCTTCCACCTGCCACCTGTCGCCCCTGCTCCTACAAGCGAATTTCATTCAGTTTGCCCACAATATGACGCTCCATTGCGTTTCACTCTCTCCCCAGCCACCTATCTCCTACTCTCTTTCTCTCTTTCCCTCTCCCTCTCTCTGTCTCTGTCTCATTCCGCTAGTGTCTCGCACGTCGCACGCCAGCTGTGGCACGTGCGCCACTGTAGGAGCTGCGTTGGGGCCTCTCCGTGTTGTTCGTCGCTCTGGCGCTCGATGCTCAGTTGATGTTGGTTCCTCGTGCCGTGTGGTTCGCATTGTGGCAATCAGTTCGCAGTGGACGCGTTCGAAATTGAGCTGTGGGAAAATCAACTTTTCAAGAAATTAGGTAAAATTCGGGCATTCGCCTAATGAGCCAATGAGTCCAATAGCCAAATTTATGTTTTTTTGATTTTAAATTTTCATTTATTTATTTTTTTGTTAATTTAAAATTGTTTCACAGGTGTGTGCGTCTGCTACGCTTGGCGCCACTTCCGCTCACTCACTTTCTATATAAATATATAATTTAATTTGTTTTACATTCGTTTATTATTTATGTTTTTTTTTTTGTTTATGATTTTATTTTGCTGTTGTTTTTCACTTAGGTCGAGCGCCATTAAAATTCTGACAGCCAAACAAATTATTTTCGGCCTGTCTGCGGCAGAGTCAAAGACTTTTATTATATGAGCATGTATCAAGTCGATGTATATATGTACATACTTACATATATGTATATATATATTCTGTCTGCTAAAGATATTCATCTTTATTTTGTTTTGATTGTAAACATGTTTTTTTTTTTTTTTTTTTTCTTTAGCTTTATTTATTTGTGGAACATTTCGACTTGTTGACACGCGAATAGTCAATTTAAGCAAATATTAAAGCGCATCTGTCGGTAACATTCCAATTAGTCTCGATATACCCTGTTTATCCTGTTTGCAGAGGGCGTATTGTTACTTGGTTGCTCAAAAGGGCTTCAATATACATAAATATTTGATTACATATTGATTTAGATTATTGTTATTTTAGATCCCTAAAGATTTTAATCTTTATTGTATATAAGGTGTATTTTGTCATTTAATTTATCAGTTTTCTATAATAAAATTCTATTTTTAAATGTATATAGTTTTCTATTATTTAATTATATATTTTAAATATAATGTTTAATTATGTTATACTTTTCTTATACAAGTTTTTTTTTTATTCACTTTTTTTTTGCTGATTTAAATAAAATTTGTATATAGATAATACATATATATTTTTTTTAATGTATGTTTAATTAGCGAAATTATAATTGGTTTTACTCAATGCTTGCTTTTTCCTTATCAAAATATATTACAGCTTTTTGTATATCAAAATAAATTTGATTAATAATTAACTTCATAAGGCATAGCTAACTTGTTAGCTAAAAAGCTATCCAGATGATATATATTTCTTATTATTTATTGATTAGAATTTATTTAAAATATTATATAGGGTATCTCCAGTCTATTATGTGTGCACTTTATCAGAGCCGAAAAATTGTGGCCAAATTTTGAAAAGCTATTGCCAAGGCTAATATATAATATAATTTACATATACATATGTATATGGATACATTTATATGTATGCACACCCATTTGAGCAGTTCCCATTTTCACACGTGAAAAAATTGGCATGACATCTGCCGGATTTCTAAGTCGCAATTTCTGCATTTCACAGTCTTGGCAATTTCTTGCATGATGTAAGACTGTTTATCAATTGACCCAATGTGCACTTATGTAAATAAAAGAAAAAAATTCCATATGCACTATATATGTTTATATAGTATTGTCTGGAAACAACTGGTTATTCAATTGGTAAACTTGTATACACAAATCACAGATGTGCAATTTGATTTTCTATTGGTCTTATTGGAGGGCGTCGGTCGATCAATTTTCAAGCTCATTTTCTATTTTTCATTCATCTATGAATATGTGTATGAGTGTATGTGCTTGCATTCGTTTACGTCGCTGTAGAATTCTAGAACATTCTGACTGTGAGCATTATTAAATGAGAAGTTGACAAACGAAATCAGCTGCAGTCCTGCGTGCATTTCGAATAAGAATCTTATTGGACTTACAATGAGAGTTGAGAGCTAAGAGTTGTGAAAGAGTATGCCTATTTTTAGTCTTCATAATTAATTTGTAAATGCTTACTCATATTTGTTATCATAATCATAGCTCACTCTCTCACTCCCTCGCTCTAATGTCCACCCTTTTTTAACAGAATTACTCATAATGCAATTGCTCTCTCTCTCTCTCTCTCTCTCTCTTGCAGCTATGGATATGAACAAGCGAATTGTCAACATGGATTCAATTAACACAAATAAACACATGAAAAAGCATAATCAGTAAAAAATACAGGAAAAAAACCGCAACATAAAGAGCGCATAAATATATTTATAAAGCGACAGCCCAAAAGCAAAAGTAAAAGCACAGTCAACTCTTTGACTCTTCAGCCGAATTGTCAACTGTAAAATCGAAAGAGAGCAACGAAAAGAGAGTGCGCGAGCGCACTTTGCTTTTGTTTACACGCCCATTTGTGCGTTGAAGCAGTGATTGCAACCAGAAGTGCACAATAAAAGCAAATATTTACCCAAACTAAGCAATAAATCAATTGAGCAATTAATTAAATAACTTTTAACAGAAACGGTAAACTATTATTGAAGCGGCTTTACAGCAGCCGGAGGAAATTCCAACAAAGAGTTTGCGCATACATATACAAAGAGAGACAGAGCGAGTGAGAGAGAGCAAGCACAGTTGCTATTGCACTGAGAGGGCGCATACTGGCGGCTGGTCGAAAATATACGCACGAAGACATACGAACACACACACTCATACAAATATACGTCAACAAATTTCGTTGAGTGCTCCAAAGTCGCGTGCTTAGCTCTGTTGGCGCTGTGCCGCTGCCTTCCAGATAGAAATTGAGTCTCTCGCGTGACACAACGTGCGTCCAAACGAGCGGAAAGTTTTCTTTAGTGTGTGCTCTCTGTGTTAAAGTTTGCTCTGTTTTTCTTTCTTTGCTTTTGGTTGCTCATTCGCTTGAGTAGCATTAGCAGCAGGCGCAGGCAGAGCAGCATTTGAGTAATCGCCGCCTCCCCAACGAAACCGCAGTCGGTCATTGAAAGCTAAAAAAAAAAATTGTTTTGTCTGTGTGGAAATTGGCATTGCTAACCGTGGTAAAGCTTAAGCGTCCAACTTACAAAGCAAATAAACATTTTATAAATAAACGTGCGCAATAAATAAACAAAAGCCAAACTTTTAAGTGCGAGTGTAAAATATCGATTTTTGTGAACAGCAAACGCGTCGATGACCTCGACGACGGTGACAGCCACGGCTACAACGGTATAAAAGCAAAAGCTGTGTAAGCGAACAAGAGAGAGAGAGAGAGGCTAACAAGCTAACGCTTTTTGCCCAAATCCAATTGAGCCACGTTTTACATAATTGCCCAAGCGCATAAAGCAACAACAAAGGCAACAACAACAATAAGAGCAACCGCAACCAAAGCCAAACTAGCAAAAGCACAAATTATAACGGCGTCCGCAAACCGAGTGCAAGTGGAAAACCTTTTTGTTGCTGGACGAAGAAGGCGAAAAAGTAGCACAACACTTCCAGAGAGCGGCGCAAGCAGCTGCTGCAGTCGAAAATCACAGCGACACATGCTTAGATATCGGCTCGTCTCAACACACTTCCTAAAGCAGCCGTAGTCAGCCCACAGGCACAAACACACACACACAAACGCGCGCTAGTGGAATAGTGGAAGAGGGAGAGCAACAGCGTGCGAGTGTGAGAGCGAGCGAGCGAACGTACGAGCAACAACTGCAGCAACCACAACAGCATCAAGAGAGCAGTAGAGGGCGAAAGAGGAAGAGAGAGCGACAGACTGAGCGCAAAGTAACTGGAAAGGCCGATCGCAGGATACGAATACGAATACAAGGCGCTGCGCTTCCATACAAAAAGTGCGTCAGGTGTGCCGGCTGAGCTCATTCACTTGCCGAACGTTGCAGTGCGAGGAGCCTGTTCACGGGATTAAGTGGAAAGCGATCGCATTCGAGTGCTAAATCGATTTAATTAATTATAAAGCGCTCACCGCTTGAACAACCGCAACAGTTGCAACAGCTTGCAGCAGAGGCGGCCTAATTAATTTGCATCCGAACGGGCCTTATAATTCAGTCACAACGTATTCGCTAGGAGTTCTACGCCTACTCGGTTTGAGCTGTTTTAATTTAGATAGCGAAAATGTGCAGAGATCGCGATATGAGTTTGTCATAGATCAGCGCAATCGTCAGTATAAGGTTAAGAAAAAAATAAAACTGATGCTGTACTGAGAGTCCCCAATGTCTGTATAACAGATAGATCGATAGACCGAGCGAGAGAGTGAGCGAAAGCGAGAGAGCGAGAGAGAGAGCGTGATAGCTAAAGAGCGAGCCTTGGACCAAGCAACAACAACAATAACAGCAAAAACCAGGAGTTCTACTTAAGATCAACAAAGCTACAATACCAAAGTTAACAATTTAAGTCTACAACATTAGTCATCAATCGATCGATCAATCAAAATCCATCAATCGAGCCGTCAAGCAATAATAGCCAGGATCATCGGATTCGCATGTGTGTGCCAACGTGTGTGTGTGATCGCCGGGGTGTCAAAGCCTGAAATGTGACTATTTTTTGCAACAACTTATTTGACTAAAATTGCCTCCGCTTCCCCCAAACAAGGAACAGAGGTCCAAGTGGAGATTTATTTTGTTGTTTCTTTGTAACGCTACTCGGTGTACGCGAGCTTTCGATATATAGTTATTATTATTCTTATTCTCATTATTATTATCATTATTGTTATTATCATTATTATTATTATCATTATTGTTATTATTCGTGGTTTGTGTTAAACAATAACGTCGTGCAACTGGCGAAAGTACGTGGAAAAATCAGCAAAATTGAAGACTTTGCGAGAAATCTTTGGAAGTCCGTTAAGGCTTGCGTTGTAAGTATAACTAATATATTCAATTATTTATGAATAAATAATAAATAAGTATTTGAGGGTCAATAGACATTAGGCTATTGGATTAACGCTTTGCTGTCTTTTGGTAATTTTCCACCCTTGTCACTGGAATTTTCCGAAAATTTTATTTGCTTGGGCACGTAGGCCATCAAGAAAAACTACACTGAGACAAATGAGAAACAGCTGTTCTCTAATCGATGATCTTTATTCATAGTCCAGCGTTCCAAGATTGTTTTTTTTTTTTTTTTTTTTTTTTTTTTATAATAATAGAATTGATAATGCTGAGTCAGAGTAGAACACTTGGGTTTAACAAAGATCAGCTAGCCTTATAGATTATTTTACTTTATTTTGGCACGAGACGATTCTTTTCAAGCAATTTCAGGTTTTAATGTGATGTATATACGATCTTTTTACTTTATCCATGTATTTACAAAGTCTGTAGCACAAAGGAATTCTACTGATTATTTATAGTAATTATTATTAGTATTATATACTGTTGGAGTTAAGTGTTCTTTGAACAGCTGTGGCTGTATACATAGTTGAATGTCGACGAACTTTATAGACTCAAGTATTATATGACTTTTCTCTCTTATAATTTACTATTTCGCGATCTTACCCGAATTTTTCTAATGCACAAACATTTTTAATACTGAAAATCTTTCTATAATATGGTCATAATGACCATCCTTTAATATGTTCATGTTAATTGTGGTTTATTTGCAAATTCTAATACAAATTTTTCTTTAATTTCCTAAACAAATTAAAAATCTAATTTTCTTCTTTATCTGCAAAAATTTTCATAAAAATGGAATACTTTGAGAATTGCTTTTCATCTTTCTGTAGGAAACTGTTAATCCACAACTTTTCAATGAAATATTTTTAATTTTTGCTACAAAATTTGTACTTTTAAAAGATGTTTTCTAAAGCAAGCTAAGGATTAAAATTAACAACAACTTGATTATTTCAATAAACATTCGAATATATTTTTGTTTCGCTGAGAAGTTTTCTATAATGTCTCAAAGAAGAAGATTCTATGCAAATTTTGCACTTTGCCAAAGTTAGCTATACCTTGAATTTCTATGCGTTTACTAAAACTCAAAGATCTAGAGCGAATTTACCACTCTCTATATATATTTCCCAGACTCTTTCTCTCTCTGTGTTTGTCAATCATTTCGGCTGGTCGGCTGTTAACTTAATTTATTGCCTTGACGTCCGTCTGTCACAATTATTGATAATCCATTTCACACCTTTGTTCAGTTTGTTGCTAATCGTGTTGGATTTCATTTTTGATATATTGCTATAAAGAAATTCACACCTTTTGCATTTGTAAGCCGAGCGTTGCCAGGCACAAAATAGAACTTCATGGAACCGATTATTGGCAGTTGTTGATAAACACAGTGGCTGGACTTTGCTAGCTACCTCAATTTAACTCTCTCTCTCTCTCTCTCTGCCAATCTCTCTATCTCTTTCGTCTTTGCACTGTTTATGTCAATCATGATTGATATCCAATTTGCCCAGAACATAAACATTCAATGTAATAGATAGTGTTGTTTGTCTATGACAAAGCGATTTTCATATCTTTCGTATCGTAAGCGCTACCAACTGAATTTTTTCCATAACATTTCCATTGAATCGATTAATTTGTTATTGTAGTTTCTATATACATATATGTACATATACATATTATTCTTTGTTTGCCGCTGACGCATCAATGGTAAGACTCTGCATTAGTCTTCTGTACTCCAATAGAAGCACAGCTGAGCATTCACTGTGACATATATACATACATATATAGTTATATAGTTAAAGGCGCTCTCTCTCTCTCTCTCTTTCTGTCACATTTTAACATACTTTTTCGACGACTACTCCACTGAGCTATAAATTTTCCATTTGGGTAATGCGACTGTCCCAATATTTGCTTGTTGTTTCTACCTGTTCTCACTCTTGTCGCTGTTGTCGCGCGATTTTAACAAACTGTTGCGTGCTTTTAGGCACCACACCCCCCACCCATGAATACCTACCTATTCCTCACTTCGCTTCGCATAATTTATTTACGTGCTAACAATCTGCACGTCACAGTTGTCGCCGTCATGCAATCCCCATCATTTGTGGCTGTTGACCCAAAAAATTACATGGCTTATTAGACAAGTCAATAAGACGTTTGTCAATTACGAAAATATTAACAAAATGGAAGATGAGCCGAGCTCCAATAGGCGTTACCTTGGGAGGTCAATTGAATGCGTTGTTTATTTAGGAAAATATATACATATATAAAGTGAAGGTTTTTATAGCGATATCTGTTTATATTTTCTTTTAATTAAGCCTTGTTGATTTGTGGAACTTAGTTGTATTAATGAGAATAGCATACAAAGGCTTTGTTGTCATTGCTTTTATTGAAATGTGCTTTAGAGATGGAAAAATTGTTGTATAACAATATTGTTATATACAGATGTATCGATGTATAGAACTATAAAGAATTTAATATCGTTCATGCATGCATATAGTCATACATTCATTCCTACATACATTCAGACATCTACATTCATACATACATTCATCATTCATATATACACTCATATACTCACACACTCATGCATTCATACGTTCCTATTCATTCGTTCGTTCATTTGCACACACATCCATCCCAATTTCTATGAGAACCACATAGAAAGGCTGTACATTAAAAAGTATGCTGTATAGAAAGTTGCAAAACTTTTCTGTATATAAGAATATACATCTAGGCACGCATATACATATATACACGTCATATATATACATCATATATTCATATACATTCATATTTTAACATGAATTTATCTCTCAGCACCAGACAATTGGTGGCGTCGGCTTTTTCTTTAGCCTCCGCATTCACACGGCTATTGTACTTCAATTAACAAATCACATCGATCAAGCCACGAGCAAAATGTGTAAATTTGTCTATATTTAGATAATTCACAGAGTTCACACTGTGCAGATATGTATATATTTTTTTACGTTCGTTTATTTTTGAACCGATTTGAAAAGTACACAAAAAAAAAAAAAAAAAAACATTAAAAATGTATTTTTAGCATTGTACTGTGAAGAAATTTGAAATGTTTTTTAATATATGCAGTGGCAATTAAAAAAAAAAATGCCAAAATGATGGGCGAGATTCCAGGGTATCTTATGCTAATGTGTAGGGTATATATGAGGAAGCGTAGGGCAAAGATTATGTTAATTTTTTATGAAAAATTATATAATTGCATTATGATTGGGTTGTTTGATATCTGAAGCAGCTTAGGGATTCATTCTTTCTCAACGAAAATTTATTTCAGTGCATGACGAAATCCTTTCATAAGAGAGTTTCTAGTAGGTCACATATGTTATGAATTTATTCTCTTCTTTCACTATCCCTCACTCTCTCTCTTTCAGTTAAGTTGTCAAGCTCTTATTATAATTCAGTTCTGATTAATCAGTTAAATTTTTGTAATTTTATTACTTAAAGCTTTTCTA